CATTAGTTGACAACCACTGACTTGAGCATTAGTTGACAACCACTGACTTGAGCATTAGATGACAACCACTGACTGAAGCATTAGCTGACAACCACTGACTGAAGCATTAGCTGACAACCACTGACTGAAGCATTAGTTGACAACCACTAACTGAAGCATTAGTTGACAACCACTAACTGAAGTATTAGTTGACAACCACTAACTGAAGCATTTGTTGACAACCACTGACTGAAGCATTAGCTGACAACGACTAACTGAAGCATTAGCTGACAACCACTGACTGAAGCATTAGCTGACAACCGCTGACTGAAGCATTAGCTGACAACCGCTGACTGAAGCATTAGCTGACATCCACTGAAGAATTAGACCCGAAATGTAACAAGAAATGGAAACTCAACCCGGGTGTGTCCTTCAGGCCTGATACGTTTAGTTCTACACCGGGGGCAATGTAATGAATGGAAACTGATATCGGTGTCTTAATGTTAAACAGTTGAACGTGGATATGGCTGATACACTGATGATTGGCCACGGGTTGATAGACACAGCTGATAGAGACAGCTGATATAGACAGATGATAGACGGCAAGATATCAGCTGTTCTGGCAACGCCCTCTCTGACATCCCCTTTGATGAATGTGTAGACACCGTCGTCCTATTGCACATGGTCTAACAAAGAGAGTCTTGACGTCACTGACAATGTTTGTTGTCATGGAAACATGTAATAAACATCAGTTATGATGTCACAAAGAGTTCCGGCGAGGTTTGCCTACGTCACAGACTGCCATGCATATCAGTCCTGTCAGATTTGACATTTATGTCAGTGATACTTCTCGCCTTTATGTCGTCCACGGATCATCAAAGAATTACCAAGGAATTATCATCAATGAACTTAGGAGCCCTTGTTAACGTTTGAGTGTTTGATCGATGTTGGTATGGAAATAAAATAACATCTTATGGAGAGATCCCTGTTCTCCAAGACTGTGTCTGTAATGATGACTAATGCACTGACATACCAGCGACAATATGTCACCGATAATATACCACCTAGAGTATTCCACCGATAATATACCACCAAGAGTATACCACCGATAATATACCACCTAGAGTATACCACCGATAATATACCACCAAGAGTATACCACCGATAATATACCATCTAGAGTATACCACCGATAATATACCACCTAGCGTATACCACCGATAATATACCACCTAGAGTATACCACCGAAAATATACAACCAATAATACACAACTGATAATACATAACCAGTAATACACCACTGATAATACATATTATACACTAATGATAATATATCACTGACATAAAAAAGCAAAAGCAAATAACTACACTGCTCTTAACTACACTGCTATACAACAAACTGTTATACACAACAATGTTATAAACTACATTGTCATAGACTACACAGCTATATACTATCCTCTTATACACAACACTGCTATACACTACACTGCTGCACACTACACTGCTATACACTACACTGTTATACACTACACTGTTATACACAACACTGTTATACACTACACTGTTATACACTACACTGTTATACACTACACTGTTATACACTACACTGTTATACACAACACTGCTGTACACTACACTGTTATACACTACACTGCTATACACTAACTGCTATACACTACACAGCTATACACTACACTGTTATACACTACACTGCTATACACTACACTGCTATACACTACACAGCTATACACTACACTGTTATACACTACACTGCTATACACTACACTGTTATACACAACACTGCTATACACTACACTGTTATACACTACACTGTTATACACTACACTGCTGTACACGACACTGCTATACACAACACTGCTATATACTATCCTGTTATACACAACACTGCTATACACTACAGTGCTATATACTATCCTCTTATACACAACACTGCTGTACACTACACTGCTGCACACTACACTGTTATACACTACACTGTTATACACAACACTGCTGTACACTACACTGTTATACACTACACTGTTATACACTACACTGCTATACAGCAACTGCTATACACTACACAGCTATACACTACACTGTTATACACTACACTGCTACACTACACTGTTATACACTACACTGCTATACACTACACAGCTATACACTACACTGTTATACACTCCACTGCTATACACTACACTGCTATACCCTACACTGTTATACACTACATTGTTATACACTACACTGCTATACACTACACTGTTATACACTACACTGTTATACACTACACTCCTGTACTCTACACTGTTATACACTACACTGCTATACACTAAACTGTTATACACTACACTGTTATACACTACACTGTTATACACTACACTGGTATACACTACACTGCTATACACTACACTGGTATACACTACACTGTTATACACTACACTGCTATACACTACACTGTTATACACTACACTGCTATACACTACACTGCTGCACACTACACTGCTATACACTACACTGCTGCACACTACACTGTTATACACTACAGTGCTATACACTACACTGTTATACACTACACTGTTATACACTACACTGCTATACACTACACTGCTATACACTACACTGTTATACACTACACTGCTATACACTACACTGCTATACACTACACTGCTATACACTACACTGTTATACACTACACTGTTATACACTACACTGTTATACACTACACTGCTATACACTACACTGTTATACACTACACTGTTATACACTACACTGCTATACACTACACTGCTATACACTACACTGTTATACACTACACTGCTATACACTACACTGTTATACACTACACTGTTATACACTACACTGCTATACACTACACTGCTATACACTACACTGCTATACACTACACTGCTATACACTACACTGTTATACACTACACTGCTATACACTACACTGCTATATACTATCCTGTTATACACAACACTGCTATACACTACAGTGCTATATACTATCCTCTTATACACAACACTGCTGTACACTACACTGCTGCACACTACACTGTTATACACTACACTGTTATACACAACACTGCTGTACACTACACTGTTATACACTACACTGTTATACACTACACTGCTATACACCAACTGCTATACACTACACAGCTATACACTACACTGTTATACACTACACTGCTACACTACACTGTTATACACTACACTGCTATACACTACACAGCTATACACTACACTGTTATACACTCCACTGCTATACACTACACTGCTATACCCTACACTGTTATACACTACATTGTTATACACTACACTGCTATACACTACACTGTTATACACTACACTGTTATACACTACACTCCTGTACTCTACACTGTTATACACTACACTGCTATACACTAAACTGTTATACACTACACTGTTATACACTACACTGTTATACACTACACTGGTATACACTACACTGCTATACACTACACTGGTATACACTACACTGTTATACACTACACTGCTATACACTACACTGTTATACACTACACTGCTATACACTACACTGCTGCACACTACACTGCTATACACTACACTGCTGCACACTACACTGTTATACACTACAGTGCTATACACTACACTGTTATACACAACACTGTTATACACTACACTGTTATACACTACACTGTTATACACTACACTGTTATACACTACACTGCTATACACTACACTGTTATACACTACACTGTTATACACTACACTGTTATACACTACACTGTTATACACTACACTGCTATACACTACACTGCTATACACTACACTGTTATACACTACACTGTTATACACTACACTGCTATACACTACACTGTTATACACTACACTGTTATACACTACACTGCTATACACTACACTGTTATACACTACACTGTTATACACTACACTGCTATACACTACACTGCTATACACTACACTGTTATACACTACACTGTTATACACTACACTGCTATACACTACACTGTTATACACTACACTGTTATACACTACACTGCTATACACTACACTGTTATACACTACACTGTTATACACTACACTGCTATACACTACACTGCTATACACTACACTGTTATACACTACACTGCTATACACTACACTGCTATACACTACACTGCTATACACTACACTGTTATACACTACACTGCTATACACTACACTGTTATACACTACACTGCTATACACTACACTGCTATACACTACACTGTTATACACTACACTGCTATACACTACACTGTTATACACTACACTGTTATACACTACACTGCTATACACTACACTGTTATACACTACACTGCTATACACTACACTGCTATACACTACACTGTTATACACTACACTGCTATACACTACACTGCTATAAACTACACTGTTATACACAACACTGCTATACACTACACTGCTATACACTACACTGTTATACACTACACTGCTATACACTACACTGCTATACAGTTCACTGTTATACACTACACTGCTATACACTACACAGCTATACACTACACTGCTATACACTACACTGTTATACGCTACACTGCTATACGCTACACTGTTATACACTACACTGTTATACACTACACTGCTATACACTACACTGCTATACACTACACTGCTATACACTACACTGCTATACACTACACTGCATTCGAACCCACGGTAATGTGTTTCTAGTGTGCCCAGGTTACGAAGATCTACACAAGGAATTGCGACCGAGCCACACGTTCCCCGACTGTACTCAATGATGACACCATATGAATGTTTGTAATATTTTATAACAAATGCATGTTCCGGGAGATATATTCGTCACAACATCTGTATGCTGTGTTGTGATTAGCAAGGGACATGTGATGGTATAGTAACTGTGTATGCTTGGTGAAGTTCCGCAGGTGGACGTGAGGAGAGCCGTCACGACACAGAGGAAGCCAGATGTCCACACGGTCGTCACTAGTTGCATGTTTGTGTTTCAGATATCCTCCGAACAACTTCAAGTAGATGCATACATCGTTGTTTTCTCCATCACCGACCACGCCTCCTTCGGAGTGGCCAACTCCATTGTCAGATACCTGAGGGTTGACTTCGGGACAGACCGCGCAATAATCCTGGTTGCGAACAAAATAGATCTTGTGCGGAAAAGGAAAGTGTCTGCAGACGGTGAGTAAACTAAACTACATTCTGTTTTACAGTTATAATTACCTTGTGAAAACTTACAACATTGTCCCATGCAATACCGGTGGTTGTCATGGGGACCCCTGTACTGGTTCGGACTGTACGAATGTCATCTCACAGCAATCAAAGGCGAGCTGCAGGAGCGATGTAACCACAGGCGTGAACTCCCGATAACAAAAATCATATACGGAAACAAGAACACGTAAATCTAATCCAGACTGATTTGGTCTTTTTCATTCTGATCATGGTTTTGCTAACACTATACATATTTCCTTTACCGCAATGTCACATACGTATATGTATTTCCTTTACCGCCAGGTCACATACGTATACATATTCCTACACCGCCAGGTCACATACGTATACGTATTTCCTACAACGCAGGGTCACATAAGTATATGTATTTCCTTTACCACCAGGTCACATACGTATACGTATTTCCTACACCGTTTGTTTATTGGCGAGTACATGCAATGCACTGTGCACACACAGCACCACGCAGGTCGAAGGGCTCCGCTGCACGTGACATTGTGAAGATGTTGTGCGCATGAAATGAACTTGGATGTGATGGACAGTTTGTCTCCGTGTCCCCAGTGTACTGCGAGGTACATATGTACTTGATCGATCACAATGATGTAGTACTGAGGCTATGTGACACATACATGTGATGGACTGAGGCTATGTGACACATACATGTGATGGACGGACGCTATGTGACACATACATGTGATGGACTGAGGCTATGTGACACATACATGTGATGCACTGACGCTATGTGACACATACATGTGATAGACTGAGGCTATGTGACACATACATGTACATGTGATGGACTGACGCTATGTGACACATACATGTGATGGACGGACGCTATGTGACACATACATGTGATGGACTGAGGCTATGTGACACATACATGTGATGCACTGACGCTATGTGACACATACATGTGATAGACTGAGGCTATGTGACACATACATGTACATGTGATGGACTGACGCTATGTGACACATACATGTGATGGACTGACGCTATGTGACACATACATGTACATGTGATGGACTGACGCTATGTGACACACACATTTGATTGACTGACGCTATGTGACACACACATTTGATTGACTGACGCTATGTGACACACACATGTGATTAACTGACGCTATGTGACACACACATGTGATGGACTGACGCTATGTGACACACACATGTGATAGACGGACGCAAGCGTGCTAAGCGCCGACCGTTTGATATTCGGGGTGACCTGTGATTTTATCGAAGAAAATAAATTGTCCCTGAAAATTCTTGAAAAAAATAACTATAATTCGATCCTTTGACTGCCAGAAAACATTACCTTGTTGCCAGATGATTTTCAGGCTTTGGTTTAAATAAAAAACCTCTCTGGTTTTGCAGCTGAGGTAAATGTCCGGCCTCTAAACTATACTGAACCGCAAAAGAAACGTCCCCCAAGTAAAATTGCATGAAAAGTTGTAATTTAGATATCTTGATAATTTTTGATAAAGTTTCTAAAATTTAACATTACCTTGACCGGAAAAATAAAATTGGTGACAATAAAACCGATCGCCCAAACGCATCACGGCCACGGCCATGGAAACCCGATGCACGTGAGTTCCGTGCACATTGAAATGCACATGCGTTCCCCCATTTCTTGCCCTATAAAAGTCCACCCAGATCGGATAACATTCATTCGTTATTGGATTGCTACCACATACCAAGATTGACAAGAAATCAGCGACACCGAGCCCTTGGACGATTGCATGCTGGACAAACCGCCCGGCAAGTAGCCGATGCATTTCAGGTCCACGTAAGGAACATATACAGGCTCCAGCAACGGTACCAGACCACCAACACTACAGATGACCGACCACGTAGGGGAAGACCAAGGGTCACCACCCGACGTCAGGATCGTCAGATTGTGCGACAGCATCTTCAAAATCGCTTTGTTACTGCTGCGGAAACTGCTCGACAGACCACGGGGACACACCAGCGACACATCAGTGCGGACACCATGCGTCGACGATTGACGAGCAGACACCTCCACTGTCATAGGCCACACCGAGGACCCATTTTGACACAACGTCATTGCCACGACCGTCTTCAGTGGGCAACACAGCATCAGCATTGGCGCCACCAGCAATGGTGAAGAGACCTCTTCTCAGACGAGAGCCGTTACTGTGTCTCTACAGCAGATGGCAAAAGAGAGAATAAGGCGTCGCCATGGGGAACGATATTCGGATGCTTGTGTTGTTGAGAGACTCTCGTGGGGTGGTCCGAGCATCATGGTGTGGGGTGGAATTGGTCTTTCACAGAGGGTCGGCCCTGTGGTCTTCCAGAACATCGGTCCAATGAGAGGCAATGGTGTCACATCAGCTCGGTACAATGATCAAGTCTTGAGACCACACGCAATGCCTCATTTGTCACGTGCCCGCACTGCGAGAGCAACAATAGACTTCCTTCAGCAGAATGGCATCAGAACCATGCAGTGGCCTGCCCTAAGTCCCGAATTAAATCCCATTGAGCGCGTGTGGGACGTCCGACCAAGGCCGACCACTACAGCTGAACTGCGTCAGGCGTTCCTTAGAGTGTGGGCTCAAGTACCTATGGCCTTCATCAACCGCCTCATCCATTCCATGTATCGACGTTGCACGGCAGTCATCAATGCACATTGCGGACACACGAGATACTGACTTGTGACGCCATTTTCTCAGAGACTAGTGTTGTTTGTTTCACTTTAAGAACATTTGACACTTTAATTTCAACCTCGATGATCAGATTTGCCAAGTTTCGTCTCAAAGTATGTTTACAGTGTTTGGACAAATAAGGTTTCTCATATATCTATCCATCGTGACGTTTCTTTTGCGGTTCAGTATCAATGGGTCTTTGTACTGAAGTAGACAGGAGTGAGTAAACGTTCGATTGTCAATCTCAGAAACGGAATCACTCCCCCGAGAAAACATGTCCCCATTATCAAATCAGTCGAGTACTATATGACCGGCATTTTGACAGCAAATACAAATTTCATTGGCGTTTGAGATTTGCCATCTGCTTCAGCAGAGATTAAGTAATTTACAAGACAAGTCGATTGGGCTGCGTGGCTAATGCGGGAGAGTGGGTGCCCCCTGCTGGCTCAGTGGAGACCGGTGTATGCCACACCAAATGCCAAAGGTCACTATATAGCTGAAATTATACTGATGAGAAGTTAAATTTTAACTCATTCACCCAAATGTCAAAGATGAAGTTTTGTGCACTCTACATCATCACGGTTTACTGTGGTCAGAGCACCTGAACCTGTTAATCAGAGTCGCGACCCTTGTCACCGAGGATGCGCTTCTTGTGGTTCGAATTGCACCCAATTATGCTTGTACATTATGAACGTGGAATTCTTGCCGAGTATTGTCCGTGACATACTGCGCTTCAGTGGAATACATGTGGATATTTCAAACAGAGATGAGAATGACCGCACAGCACTCGAATACTGCTGTTTGGGGTTGTGTATGTATAATCCTGACTCGCGGTCGAGACAAAGTGTAATAGTTTCAGGATGAATAATTCTGATTGAATATCTGTGGTTAGAATACAAATTGCCAGTCATTACGTTGTACGGTCAGACAGCATCAACTGGGCACCAGACGGGACAAACGAGGCAGCTCCCTATGATGGTTAGATCTCGCCTGGCAAACGTTTAACATATTCTTGTCTTGAGATTAGGTTTACAAGCTCCGAGTAGCAGTGAAACGTTGTCTTGGCTAGGTTTTTATAGTGCCTTAAAAACATGATCGGGCTGATGGTGTCCGGAGAACAGGATGGAGTTGATAGTGTCTGGAGAACAGGGTGGAGTTGATAGTGTCTGGAGAACATGATCGGGCTGATAGTGTCTGGAGAACAGGGTGGAGGCGATAGTGTCTGGAGAACAGGGTGGAGGCGATAGTGTCTGGAGAACAGGATGGAGTTGATAGTGTCTGGAGAACGGGATGGAGTTGATAGTGTCTGGAGAACAGGGTGGAGTTGATAGTGTCTGGAGAACAGGGTGGAGTTGATAGTGTCTGGAGAACAGGATGGAGTTGATAGTGTCTGGAGAACAGGATGGAGTTGATAGTGTCTGGAGAACAAGATGGTGTTGATAGTGTCTGGAGAACAGGATTGAGTTGATAGTGTCTGGAGAACAGGGTGAAGTTGATAGTGTCTGGAGAAAAGGATTGAGTTAGTTGTCTCTGGAGAACAGGACGGAGTTAATAGTGTCTGGAGAACAGGGTGAAGTTGATAGTGTCTGGAGAACAGGATTGAGTTAGTAGTGTCTGTGGTACAGGATTGAGTTGATAGTGTCTGGAGAACAGGATTGAGTTGATAGTGTCTGGAGAACAAGATGGAGTTGATAGTGTCTGGAGAACAAGATGGAGTTGATAGTGTCTGGAGAACGGGATAGAGTTTTATGGTGCCTATAGTACAAGTTGGGACTGATTCAAACGACAGGGAACTCACACATAACCCTATTGTAGACAAATTGCGGAATTACTGAAACATAAATAAGACCAGAAACCACGGCCACTTGTATTCGTATTGTTCACTGAGATTGTTCACTCAGTGGTCTATGTGTAAACAATAGGCCCATCACTCGGTAGTGACATGTGTGGCTGTACCGCCCACCTCGGGGGCTGCCAGAACTATCTGCCTTCAGACTGTTTGGGAGACATCTTGGTTTGCTGTGCGTCTGTCAGACTGCAGAACCACGTGCCGAACTTGGCAGGTGTAGCTGCTCCGTGGCATAGGCTAAACTATCTGTGATTACGTAGCCAGATCCTCTTATTTAAAAGAATTAATCTGTTTGAACGAAATAAACTGCGAGTATTGTATGTGGAGTGAGTGAGTGAGTGAGTGAGTGAGTGATCACGATAACCACAATTACAAAACAAACCTAACTGAACTCACGAACATTCACGTATTTTCGCGTGGTAATTTCACATATCG